AAAATGGCATCCATGGATAGTATAATTAGACTGCGATAGAATTTGACAATATAAGAAAATTTTGTACTATAACCCTCAAATGAATAATTTAATTGAATTTGTTAGAAATAACTATTTGTCATTTTATTAATACGTGTTTCCAACAATCCTCCGAAAGAGATTTCAGTCTGTCTTACTGCAATTGTCAGTCTACTTGATCCATTGTTGAATACCGATCCGATGCATTTTTATGGTATTTAGATAAGTTTGTGTGGTAACTGAAAAGCATACAGTTACAAAGTATTTTTTCATGAGCTAAACGTGTTTCCAATAATCATTCAAGAGAGATTTCAGTCTGTCTCTACTGAAATTCTCAGTCTACAAGATCCATTGTGGAATACCAATCCCGATATATTTTCATAGTATTTAAATATTCGTTTGTCTGGTAACTGAATATGATACGGTTACAAAGGTACACTATCATGAGCTCATAAACATGTATACCGGTAAATGCTAATTATATAAAATCTGCCTCTCAAAATTCAAAAGTCATCAGTTTAATTAAACTGCCCGAGACCTTTTTTTTTTGCAAAGTAGGTCAATGGTCAAGATCAAGTGGATTGTTATGCTGGTTTTTTTATATTGTCTTAAGACAAACGGTGCATATGCTGAATAGCATAGGCTTACCTCTTAAATATCAAAAAATATGCTGTATATCGGCACTATGAAATATTTTAAAAAGTAGGTCAAAGGTCACGAGGTCGGTAACCATGGTAATTTACAAAAGCCATAGTGCCAAGCATTATATATGCGAAATATCAAATCCATACTTCTTAAAGTTCTTGAGATATAGGGTGTGGCAGACGGAGAGCTAGACAGACAGACCGACAGACAGACGCCGGGTAAAGTGATCCCTTAGTGCCGCTTTGCTCTGCAGGCGACACAAAAATACTTCGTGTACTTCGTTTGACCTAGATTTACTTTTCGAATGGTAAAAGAATGCATGTCAGTTCTTATATGGATATAAATGAAAGATCTTACAATGACAAACCATGCAGAAGAAACACCACTAAAAATGGATAAAAAATAGGAAAAATAAATTCTGAAGTAGGCTTAAATCCTCTTAGATGATACTTGCAAAAATTTTGCATCTAGAAATGCGTAGTTAGTAGTATTTTCACCAGATAAGTGCTCAGGCCTCGGGATCATGAAACAGACTTAGCTTTAAGTCAAAATTTCAATCATCTCCAAGATGTTAACTACTTATGTACCAAACCTCTTAATTTGCTGACAACAGTGGTTTGATAAAGCAATGTTGAATGATATTTTTATTTTTGACTTTTTGTCATTTTATCGCCAAGGAAAGATTTTGACTTAAGATTGAGATGTTTTATGATCCCAGGCACTGGTCTAACTTTCTTAAGTATCTCAGTCCCAATTGATTGCAAGTTCATCAATGAATAAATTTTGCGTAGTCGTTAAGGTACAAGTGATTTATCAATTCAAAGTGAAACTATTTTAAAAACAAAAAATCAAATATGAAACACAAATCACTCTTCTTTTTAGAAATTAATAAGCGATTTTATAATTACACACATATGAGGAATTCTGATCTTTTATAAGAATATTTGTGTACTAGCCCCTCCTTATTTGAAGGGGCGATGTATGGAAAATGTAAAGGACAACATACAACGATCAATCTTTTAAATCCATAAACAATTCGTGAAAAGGGCAAAAACACGAGCGATGGGATCAGATGCCTGAATGGAATAAGCATCTTTCGGTCAACACGACCGTGAACCCTCTGTATTGATCAGGTAAACAGTGTTATTCATAGTGAAAAAATATAAAAACAATGGTATAACAACTCGTAAAAAACATACCCAATGACAGACTGTATTTGAAAAAGAGGTCATCAATCGACTATATTTGTGAAAAGTTGACAAAGGATTGGAACGCCTATATCTGAAGATTTGAGATGATCTGTGTCAATCCACCACCCCCACCCTCGAAATACTTTTTGTTCATATATATATATATATATATATATATATATATATATATATATATATATATATATATATATATATATATATATATATATATATATATATATATATTCTCCATGACACGTGTTGTGTAGGGCGGCTCCTTGAGAAAATTCCATCGGCATCGAATGCAAATTTTTTTTGACTTGCCTAGATAGCCGAGCAGTCTATCACGCTGTTCCTGTACTGCTAGGAGACAGATTCCGTAGGTCGAGAGTTCAATCCCGGGTTGGGGTAGAAGTGGGTATCCTTATAAAAGTGAATTTCTTTGTGTTTTCTATATGAATATTTCTTCACTTAGGGTAGTTATGTTAGTGTAAGAGTTGTTGTAAAATGTGCTTAATCAATAAAATTAATTACATTACAATGTTTATCGATAACGCTCCTCTACTAAAACTAATGGTCAAATAACCGTATTTCACTTCTATTCTCAATGACCGTGTAGTGTAGGGCGGCGCCGCGAGAATTCCTTCGGCATTGAAAGCAAGTTTTTTGAATTGCCTATATAGCCGAACAGTCTATCGCGCTGTTCCTGCACTGCTAGGAGACAGATTCTGTAGGTCGAGAGTTCAAACCCGGGTCGGATTGGGGCGGAAGTGGGTATCCTTATAAAAGTGAATTCCTTTGTGCTTTATATATAGTTTTAATAAAACTCACTTGTGGCAGTGACCCCTTCATTCTTTTGTAAAGCTGTTCCTTTTTTGAAGCCAATAGAATCTCTAAATGAGATGATATTCTTTATCAAACTGATTATGTCGCTTTTTATTTAAAAAACCCTTACTTTGATAGAAAACAAATCATCAGATCATATAGTACTTACTTCCTAATGACTTACAGTTGTTGTTTAAAAACTATTTTAATACTAGCAGAAAGGAAAAAGGATAATTACATTAATGAGGTAAATCCTTGAATGTCTGCATTATTGGATTCATCTGTAATAGAGAACGTTATTATATCACTTTACATGCCTTTTTTTTTATTTTATTTGAGAAATTTTCAAAAACTTTTAAAGGAATGTTTATGTTAATTTGATACAAAGTTAATGTAATTATTTTTTCACTAAATACAGTCGAGATAATGAATCGAAATGGTGAAAATCTCTCTCTCTCTCTCTCTCTCTCTCTCTCTCTCTCTCTTATTTAAAAGCTCTTCATATTCACTTCTTTCTAGGTATCAAAACAAAGTTTTTCATTATCAACAAAATAGCACGTTTAGAAACATTACTTTTCTGCCCGGAGCTATTCCTATTTTTCACTTCGGTGCCAACTCGTACATACACATATTTTATACTTTTCTAAAATGCAAAACATACTAAAACGTCCCAAATAGGTGGATATAAAAATATACAGCACCTGTAGTAGAACTCGACAACTCTTTTGACGCCGTTTTCTGGTGGCTGTAAGAATAATTATAAGATACTTTTTTGTAAAAGAGAAAAGTACATCAACATTTTCAACAGCCTCTTCAATTCAAACAATCAATAAACCAATCAGTAGATTAATTACAAAATCAATTAATTGATATATGGACATTCCTACGGACGCTCAACAACATGCAATATAATTTATTGTATTATACTGAATGTTTTATACAATATAAATAAAGGTGAAGTAAATGCGCAAAGATTCCACGCAATTAATGTTTTTTTTTTTTTTTTTTTTTTTTTTTTTTTGGGGGGGGGGGGGGGATATTACCCTTCGTTAAGTAATGTTAACTGTTGCTAAGTTCTATTGCGCTGGAGGGCGTTGTTTTCATCAATCAAAGGTTAAAGTGATTTTTAAGAATTGTTTCGTGACGAAACAAATTGAAGTAATTTATATGAAAGAACAATATATCATATAAGCAAAAACAATGGCCTAACAATTGCCTGGAAACATGTCAGTAAAAATTTGACCCGAGAATGGTCTGTATTTATTTGCAAACGAGGTAATTATGATTGGATTGTTCTGTATTATTCCGTTATTCCATCTCAGAACGACTAGGTTGTTGCATTGAAACATAAGAGTCCGTATGTCTTGTAGGAATCACATGAAAGTAATCCTTGCTTTTCTCCCCCTGATGCTTACTCTTTTTTTGGGAAACTACTTTCACTTCTTCTTTTTTTCTTCTATGGATTGTAGTATAAGATGTTTCATTAGAAGTGACAACAATAATATTCTATGAGGGTAAACTTTCATGAAATCAGAAATCACTTATTGTCTACTTGGGATTCGTCGCACTGCTGCATAAAGTTTAAAACAATAATATCCATGGCTTTCCCTTTAGTTTTTTTTATTTTCTTAGTTCTGATAGTCACTGACAATTCCTCTCTACTTTTGACATTTCTCTTTGATATTCAATCATGACCCCAATCTATTCTCAATACCTACTGTTAACCCATGGCGTCCTCTTAAGCATCCCTAAACTTTTCTCTAACTAGGAAAAAACGTAAAAAGGTAATTATATCAAGATTAAATTAAACCAAGAAATCATTAGCCTTGGTGAAACCAGGTTTCAAAGTTCTCTGGACTTTCTCGATACACATTTGCTTTATGTTGTTTAGAAAGTACTTTAATTACAATTTCCTAGCTAGATCATTATCATAATGCTACAGTTAATCCGGTAGAAGTAAGAGCAAGGAAGAAATATTATGAAAAATTCATACATTTTCAAAGACGTCCAACCTTGTCAAATGAAACACAAAAAAAACCCAGTTTGAACAGTTTCAAGTAACTTCACTTTGTTCAAAGAAGGCTAAATATTCTGTGCATAGATGCAAGAAGTTTGTGTGATAAATAAATGTATAGTATTAAAATAATATCAAGCACTTTCTAAACAAACCTTTAGCAATTTGCAAGAAACGCTTGAACCCCCACCCACCATTCACAGAAAAACTTCAAGCTTTTTGTAAAGCTGATTCTTCCATTTCTTTTGTGTAGAAATTAATAATCCTTTCATGGCCATTTAGATATAGAATGTCAGAAATTTCTATCTTTACACAGTTTTAGCATAATCTTTTTGGCTTCTACAGTACAAAGACAATCACAAATAAGAATAATTTTTTTTAATCATGTGCAGTTTTAATCATATTTGAAACTCAGGCAAACTGTATATTCTGAGGACTTCATAATCCACTCGGACGATAAATGTTATCAGGCAAAAATGATTAAGTTATAAAATTCTCTAATTTTATTTAATTTCAAAATAAGTATGAGCCTACCCTGATTCCATGTTATTTCCGTCCCTTGCATCTGTTAAAACAAAATATTTAAACAATAAACAGGTAGGAGAATGCATGTTACTTTCTAAGATACGAAAATACAAGTTCAGATGAACTTTTACCTTGGTCATCAATCTCACATGGGTTGATACATGTTCCCTCATCTATCTTTCCAGAGCTGTCATATCCCTCATCATCCAACCGGAATTTTTTATGAGACTTTCTGAAGGACATGCCTAGAGGGATTGTTATTTCAAGTTTTAAAACATGTTTGTGCTTTTACCTTAGTCATGATTTTTACAAACATTAAATCGGAAGCATACTCATTGAAACAAGGGCAATAAGTATTGCCCGTACACCGTTCCAGCATTTACTTCAATTCAGTTGATTCAAGCTACTATAACGCCCTTCGTAGGATTTGATCACGTGACCAACTTCATGTAATTATCCCAATGAAACTCAAAAAATATCTTATTTCTTAAATATTTACATTTGCCATGTTTTTCCTTAAATGACAATACTAACAAAACTGACATTCAATTTTTGATGACATGAAGTCGATCACAAGATCAGACTTTCTTGCGTACGGAAAGCAAATCGCACAGTCTAGACTGTGACGTCACATGTATATTCCAAAACGGAGTCTAAAAAGATTAATCTTTTCTATATGCCACAAATTAAAATAGAAATATAAGAAGTAAAATATCACTTTTTAGAGGTTCATTGGGATACGACAGGAAGTTTGTACGTGATCAAATAGCTATTAACTTTAGGTTATAGACAACTATACATCAGTATACGAAACATTGCATTATTATGAAGGGTTTCAAAGCTTTTTCTGGGTCATACATTATGACAGGCAGAGAGAGAGAGTTCAAAATAAATCCTGGAAATAACATAAACGTCCCCGATTGAGAGAGATATGATGATAATAAAGGTTAAGGGCAAATAAAAATCAACTCAGTTTTAATAATAACATAAGATAAATGAGAAAAAAAACACATATTCTCGGTGTTATACCATCAATTTTCCCATACACAGTCTCCATATATAGAAAAATTTCGCCCATTAAAGAGACACCGTGACGGAAAATGGGGAAAATTGACAAAAGCAGATATTTTGCACGACACTTGCAAATTTTGTTCAATTCTTGAAGATATGAGGTTTCAGAAAATTACAAGTTTTAAAATCTAAAAAACTATTTCTATGGAGAAAAATAAAAGTAAAAATAATTTTTGTTTGCCCCAACACAAAAATATTGCCTCACTTCTTCCTCTTTATTGTATGCATGCGCAGAAAAGTTGAAGAATTTAACATGGAATCAATTCCATAGATATAAATGTCGGATGACCGAGGATTTTGATACAATCTTCAATAAAGAAGATCAGAACTTATTCCTCACTTTGCTTACTGCAATTCAATGTTGTTTGTAACTTTAAAAAAATCTGTTCGGATTTCCTTTTTTCAAAATAGAAAAATCCTCCTAACAGAGAATCTGGTATTTTGTTTGGTATTCAAATAAACATGACTTAAATTATGTGACGGATGATTTCCTACGTGGTATATCTTCGTGATGGAGGATTATCAAAATGGATCATCTATTCATATACTATTCCAAATGAAGAATTTATATTATGAATTTTCTTTGGAGCTTTTCAAGACTGAAAGTTTTCTAAACGATACCAATCTTGAATTTCTCGAGATAAAATTACAATTGGAGACAAAAAATACACCCAAATGGAGAATTCTACCTTTTGTCCAACTCATTCTACTCATTCTACAAACATTCAGGAGAAGTTCACATTGTCAAAAGAGTATTCTAGATTTAAATGTTTTAATACAGATTTCATATATCTGATGTTTCGTATGCTTTTAAGAATTAAAAATTATTGTCGTCGGACAGTGCGCACCAAAGACATACATTTCAAATGCATAATTTATAAGAAAAAATGTTCCATTGCGAGTCGTTTATGATTGATTGTATTCTTTTTTCTCTTTCTGAATGAAACACTTCATAAAAAAATGTTTACTTTCAGTGCAACTATTTAACCACATACACATTAGATAGATATCAAAACAATAAAAACCAAAATTTATATACCTGGCTTTAATATTTTCCGTTTCCTCATCCAAATAATGACAACGAATACGATGAAAGCTACAGCAACCACAGATATGCAGCTTATAACAATAACAGAATCATTCTCTGCTCCTTCCTCCGTTTCTTTTTTGTATATATACTCCCCTGATTAAAAAAAATCTTTTAAAAACACATCTCATGTATTTCTTCTTTTTTTTGTCCATGTAAATTTGGTTTTGATGAACACTTACCTCTGACTGAAATATATATGCTTCTATTTGTTGCGGCCGTCTTATAGTTATAGAGGGATACAATGTACGTATCGTTTCTGTTAAGAGCTTCTTTTGTTTTCACGATGATTATTTGCCCAGGATATAATACTGACACATTATGAATGCGGTGTTCGATATCTGCATATTCATATGTAGTTTCTGTATTCATGCTCAAAGTAGCATTATTACTATTGTGAAGAAGACGTACTTCCTTTACCGGTGGAATACTAATGACCCTTAATTCTAATGTAAGTATTCCTTGAAGCAGAGAGTCTTCTAGACTGATTATGACTGGTGAACCTGTAAAGACAGTAAAAAGTGAACTTCCAATAGTTTCATTCGAAACAGAACAACGATAGCCAATATTCCAGGATTCTTTGGTTCTTGTAAGCACTTTTAGAATTAAACAAAATTTACGAAACTCATTAAGATAATAATTCCTTTATTTAAGGGAAGTATATTTGGCTTTATAAATTACAAGAATAAAAATTGCTAACGTACAGCTACTAGCCAGAAGGTTTCCAATGCCCTCTATGAACACATTTCCATTGATATCCTTCACCCCATTTGATACAACACAGACGTATTCACCTAAATCGCTGATAGTCACCTGATGATAAATCTTACAATGATTTCTTTTATTTAAATGCATTGTAAATACCAAAGAGAGATAGAGAGAGCAGGAGATATTAGTCAGAAATTGTGGACTGAGTTAACTCTTACGTGATTGATAAAGTATTGCATGTCGCTGATGTTGAGGTTCTGAATAAAAGTTCCATTGAATCTGTGTTCCCATCTAAGCAAGTTATACTTTGTTGGCATGCCTTCCTCTATTAAGCAGTCTATTGAAACATTGTCACTACAGCTTACAACTAAGTTTTTGATCCGAGCAAACGGTGTATCTACAAAAATGAGAGAAAAAATACTCTATGCATTTTATAGAAAATATAAATTTTTTTTCATGTGTTTCAAAGAACATTCTTTTAAGTGTGCAACAAAGACAAACCAATACTGATTTTTTCCCATGTCTAAATCACAGAATGAAATATAAAGTCAAACCTTCATTCACTTCAAAGATGATTCTCAATTTATCACAAATATTTTTTTGACTGTGTCCTTATTTTACTTAATGTTAATAGCAATATATCTGTTTCTAAAGTTTTCTTACAACATTCAACACGTTTTTTAATACACAAAAAATAATTTGCAGGATATTGTTGTGCTACTTTATTATTCTGAAACATTAATATTGAAAAAAATGATCCTTTAAGTTCAGAATTTAAGTAGTCAGCATGTGAATGTAAATTCTGGATTTTGGATAGCGCTATTATTCATGACATTGTAAGCCAATTTTTTTATTGCTAACAAACGATATATAGACCTATCCTATTGAAAAAAAGGCGGATAAATTGGAGGTAATTGACTGACCTTGCTGAAAAATAAACACACACACACACACACACTCACAAAATGCTATTGACATTTAGTAAAATATGATCAAATATGATTTGGGCAGACCTGACCTGAATTCAAACATAATGAAGAAAATCTAAAGACTTTTAAAAGCTTTATCATCTACGACATAGTAGCATTCTAGGGTATCCTTTGATAATCGCTGTGATTAGGTCCAGTAGTGTTTGTGTACCAGATGTTTCAAACTAAAACAAAATAATCATAGAAAATAAAAACCATGATGAAAACAAGAAAATGCAAAAAAAGAGAAGGTACATGACGGATGTGTGTGTGTGTGTGTGTGTGTGTGTGTGTGTGTGTGTGTGTGTTCTCTGATTATGTCACATAGAATGTCAGCACTTCGGCCCAACGACACCTCGGCCCACGGACCTTTAGGCCCAGTGGCACACAGAATAGAGGACCTTGAGGATGTATCGTTAGGCATCTTTTGTTACGTTTCTTGAGTGAGTAACATTTGCCTTGCATGCGTACGTTCCACTGCCTGCTGTATTGAGTCTTTCATATTCAATTATGCTTTCCCCAAAGTAATACAATTACAATTATATATTATTTTATCTAGATAAATTAAATTTACATGAATGGTCGTGATTATTAGCATTTAAACTTACAAATTCAACCCTTTGTTTATTTCTGCTCATGATGAATTTTAATTGATTCTTGGATTTGTAAAATTCGTATTTTATTGACGTTAATATCTTACACTGAACAGTGAGGATATAATGTGAAGTATTTTTCATTGTGGTTCCTAGATATGATGAAATTCCTTCGCATGAGTAATTTCCACTGTCTGTTCTATTGAGCTTCGGAAAAACAATTGTGTTTTCACCAACTGCACGGCTTATTTCTTCATTTTCGTATTTCCAAACAACTGTCGGGATAGGTTGGCCTATGGCAATGCAAAGTAATTTGAAGCTGAAGAATTCTGTAGGATCAGATGAAGGTAAAATTTGAACACGTGGAGGCTCTAAAAGTATCAGTTCAATAATATTTTCATTACTCCTAGCTCCTGATTCAGTTTTTGACAATACATATACTAAACTAAAAAATAACACAGAAAATAAGTAAGGAAAAAAGAATTTTATCGATTATATATTTATGAATTGATAAGTTTACGATCTTTGAAAAACAAAAAATCATATCACAGTTATAAAATCAATCCTTTGAGCATAGGACTGAAAAGCAAGTAAACTTTGAATACTATTTGATACTATTTATAATTACCTGTATATATGAATATCATGGTTTTTCCTTTGGGTGAATGCGTTTCGTCACCTATAAAGTAATATCCTGCACATTCGAATACTTCCTGATGAACTGGAGTGTCCACATGAAGAGTAACAATGTTGATATTACAAATAAGTGAATAATTTGTGGTTGTTATATTAATACATGACGTTATAGAAAATATTTCTTCATCATTTTGTACAGATTTCCAAGCACACCTGCTCCAGCCAGGGTCTAGAGTGCACACTAAGTCTGCTCCCTGTCCGTACAGTACTTTTGTACTGTTTGATATATCTATCGATGGATCTAATAAAGGAAAAATGTAATTGAAAATGTGTTTCAATAAGAGTGTCTTTAATTACAAATACTGGAAAGATTATTAATACTACTTCTGATAACTTTCACAAAGTTAACAAAGCAAGAGGTTCTAAATTTTAACCACGGGATTGAAAAAAAACATTGTGAAGAATTTTACCCTTTCTGAAAATTTTCGAAAGAATTTGAGATTAGAATTTTGTGATAGAACTTTTGAAGACAGCCTCAAAATACCACTAATATAAACTTTTGTTCTTTCTCTTTGAAACTCATTTTCTGGATAGACTGCAAGACATTCCCATGTATCACTATTTTTTGGCTTTGTATCATAGAGTGTTATTGTTGTTTTATTCATAGTTTTACTACAAAATGCTCGTTGTCCCTCGGCATTCTCTTTTGTTTCACAATCGGTTTTGTGGAAAACAAATGTGTATGATACATCACTTGCTCTCCTCCAAGAAATGGAATCCCATTCATTATCAGCTTCACATGTCAGCGCCAGTTGTCTACCATATCGGACGTTTGCGATAGGAGATGGACTGAGTTTCAGACACCTGATAACTACCAAAGCGAAAATATTCAGCATTTGATACTATAGCATAAATTGTTTTTACAGGAAATATATTCATGATTTAAAAGCCTAGAGAAAAAGGATGTCTGTTCTGGATTACTTCAAAATTATCATTTTTTTAAATAAATAAAACATTACTAAAATTCTTTATGGTATTTATCCGGAATTGGTCAACAGATAGCCTATTTCCCGGAACGGATTTATACAAAGTTTTTCATGATGTTGTCTGAATGTTATATTGAATAATAATTTCTGGTAATTTTCCCTTAATGGCACATAGAGTGGCGATTTTGTAATCCTATTTTCTCAAGTATATATTGCAATTTGTTTTTATTCTCAAAACTTCGAAAATATTTGCGAATAAAATATTTTGAAATTACAATTATTTCATTTAAAAATATATGCAAATATAATTCTGTTATAAGATTTAGAAATACGTTAAATATTCAGAAATTCCAGATTGTGTATAAGTGTATCACATACTTGTCATTACACTAGTATACCTGAAATGCATATAATTCCAACGATGATTTTGTCTAGATTCATTCCTACAAGAAAAAAATAGATGATAAAATGAAAACAAAATCAAAATAATTTTTTTTTCATTTAGAGCATTCATTTCATAAAACAAATACTAGATAGTTTCATCTTACTTCTCTCCATTATTATGAAATGGTTTTAAACTAATTCATATGCATTTAATTTAAGCTTCGTGACCTATCCCACATCACATTTTGGTGACATGTCAGATTTTTAGTAAACTTAAATTTATTTATTAAGTAACAGATTTTGAATCTGTTGAAATTAAAATTTTGTCATTTTAGCAAGTTTTTGTTTTTTTTTAGTTTTTAAAAATGCTGTTTACAGAAAATATACATTTTTTTAGGTTGACATTTACTTCTGTTTATGTCTGACATCTTAAAAAGGTGGGGACCTGTAAAATCATTTTTGTATTATTTATTATATTGAACAATATTTATTGAAATTTTCTACTTTGAATCAAAGGGTGCAGACGTCTTACAGAATACTCTTAATTTCCGTGATGTTTGCTATTTTGTCAAGACTGAAGTAGAGAAATGGTGTCATTTTATACAGTAAAATTTATTGTCAATAAGGCATAACGGCTATGTCTGACAATTTTTATGGTAACTTAAATCATATAAAGCCCAATTAACATAAATTCATGCCTTAACATAATAGACGTTTGGAATTGATTTTGAAATTCGTTTGATTGAATTTGGAGGAATTATCAAATAAAGCACATTTAAATGAGCATCGATTGCAGAAAGATCTGCGACTCATTTGACATAGTTAGTGTTTTTGTAAATGTTTTACCTCCTTCAATCATTACATTGAATAGAGCATTCTTGATGTCACATAGAATTTGCATAGATAACATGAATGCATATCTATCTAATCAGCAGATTTCAAATGAATATTTATAATTAACTGACGCCGACGAATAATATATCTTCATCTGAAATCAAGTGCAAGTTGTTTAATAGGATCTTCTTTTCATGGGCTTGTTCATTTTGCTTGTTCTGTCTAGGACTACCTTTCGATAAGACACGGATTTGATAATTAAAAAAAGTGTGTATATATATATATATATATATATATATATATATATATATATATATATATATATATATATATATATATATATATATATATATATATATATATATATATATATATATATAATTTGTGAATGTGAAATATTTGGTATAATCTATGATAAGATTGATATATATTGTAAATGAAAGAAGTAAAGATAAAGATTGACCAATCTCATAATTTTTTTTAAAAAAAAACTACAAAATGTTAACATGGCAAATAGATGGACTCCTTGAAACACGAAGTGGGATCGGGTACCTACCCCGTCACACCTTCCGTGAGTCCTCTGTGTATATCAGGTAATCGGAGTAATTTGTATTCAAAATTATAAGTATAAAACAAACAATGGTCTAACAACTGGTATGAAACATGTCAGTCAAAATACGACACAACGGTTGATGTACTTGCAAATAAGGTCATTATAACGACCATATAATTTGCGAAATTTGCATTGTTTCGTGAGCCCATGTTGAAAAAAAATTGTGAGTGTCTATTTACAGGTGAGTTAAAAACACAGAGCTGGAGACTTAATGACGGAGACGAGCCTTGAATCAGTCAAGGCTCGGAGCCATCACAATGGATGTGTGCAGGGCGTTCCACTCCATTTTGATATCTGGTAGAATGATTCCTTTCTCACTGACGTTTGACATAAATGGATTTGAAATACCAGAATGTTGTTGTTGTTTCTAGATTTCTTTCTTGGATTTCGGACAGTGTCAGTATGGACTTTGTTGTTAATCAGCCTGTACATAACACAGAGGATGACTATTCTTCGCTTCTCCTCTAATGATGGCCATTCAAGCTGGTTAAGCATGTCGGTTACGGATAAGGTGTTGTGATAACTCTTGTGGACATGCCGTCTGCTCTATGCTAAATAAGTTCAATATTTTGTGAATATTTGAGTTTTTGGTGAGGATTCCAGGCCGCAGTGGCATACTCTACCGTTGGTCGCACTAATGATTTATAGACTTTCTCTTTGATGTTATTGTTGCTGATGTCGATGTTTCTTTAGAGAAAGCCGATGGTGCTGTGCACAGATGTTGATTCTGTGCTAGGTCCACCTCAAGTCTGACGAGATTGTAACGCCAAGATATTTTATTGAAGGAATATGCTCAAATTGGTGGTCATATAGAATGTAGTTCTTCTTGATCACCCAACAATCCTTGGTGATGGTAAGCACATTACATTTTTCTGGGTGGAACCGCATGAGCCATTTATTTTCCCAGATTGCTAGTTGGATTAGATCGTCCTGCAGCTTCTCTGCATCTGAGGTGATAGTCATAAATGCTACGGTCGAAAGGTGCTACGGTCTAGGTCGACCTAGAGTCGTACGGTTGAAAAAAGGCCGTCCGGCATGTCGTTGATATAGAAGAGACTCGGTCCAAGGACTGAACATTGGGGCACACTGGAGTCCACTGACACCTCTTCAGATGATTCCCCTTCCACGACTACACTTTACCAGAGGTTTGTAAGGAAGCTTTGGATCCATTGGTCGATCTTTTCTTTTATTCCATAATGTTTGAGCTTATGGATAGGAAGGCTATGCTCACTTTATCAAATGCTTTGGAGAAGTCCATAATAAGGCAGTCAGTATGTTTTGCTTTGTCTTTGTTGATAGTGGTATTATCAATGAACTCATTAAATTGGGTTTTGCATAAAAACCATGACGGAACGCATGCAAGTTCAAGTTCATTTTATTCTCCCAAACCAAAATATTGGTACATGAGGAATTTTAATAACATATATACATTAAACACAAAATTGTCAGAAGTACAAACACGTATACAATAGAAAAAGATGACACAAAATAAGTATAAATATTAAAAAGAAAATAGAGAGGAGGACATATTTCAAGGAGGACAGAGAGCATCATAAATTTTTAAAATAAACATAGTTTTTCAGGGTTCTTTGTTCTTATTTAACATTATTTCAACGAATTTAACAACATTTGGCCTGCAAGAATAATAATTACTTAGGTATTTTTTCTTACATTATCTAAAGCTTTACATTCTAGGATAAAATGGAATTCGTCAGCAATTTGAGAAGTATTACAGAGAGTACAGGTTCTTTCGGAAAGTGGTATACCATAACATCTTCCAGTTCGAAGACGACTTCCATGCTGAAGAGGGTATATGATGTTGTTGGAATAAGCATGGTTAATGATGTGGCTGGTAGCGATGTGTTCCATGATCTTGCTGGAGATGCATGTTAATGATACTTGCCTATGATTCACTGCCTCGTTTTACTTTCTTTTTTTGTATATGGGGCAGATGTTGGCTGATTTCCATATTGCTGTTATCTCTCCTGTTTGATAAGAATGGTTAAAAATCACAGTCAGTGTTGGGGCCACATCATCTGTTATTCTTTAAGAAGCCTCGGATTTATATATTCTCTAGTCCTGTAGTTTTGGCTACATTCAGCCTCTTAAGTAACTTATGGACTCCATTTACTGTTATGTTTAGGTCTTCAATCTCATGATATCCACCCTTCATGTTATATCGCTTAGAAAACTCCTCAGCTGTGATGCCCACTTTTTCCAAGAAGGCTTCTTTAAACTGCTTATTCAGGATTTTTACCTACGTATCTACGTGCCCTGGTTCTAAAAACCTGAGAAAGAATATTTGGCAGAATTCAGAGGCTTCCACCAAAAAAAATGATTTTGGGACTTCTGATTTTGATTGTTGTTTGTTTATGACACCCCAGAACGGACGCTAAACAAAAAAGTTTGAATGGCCTTACATTGAGGGTAGAGCTATGAAACAGTTGAAATTTGACACTCTTTTAGAAATCTTTCATAGAGGTGGCTTTTAAAACCGGATCTCAATAATTTAGAATTTGATCAATTGATCAATACCATTCAGTTTTCAACAGGAAAAATGAAAATAAAATATTCATGTCTAAAATCCAAGTAAGTTGATGACTAAACATTGTTTATATATTCTGTCCCTTCTTGGACGTGAGTTTAAAACCATGTTTTGTTTCCTTTACATGATATATTATTCTATATGAACTTACATTTCAATCATTGTAAATATTATTATTATTATTGGAATATTAAAAAAAGGATATGTTACAAGATGCGGGCCCTGAGGCGAAAATAAATGGATATGTACCGAAAATACAGTAGAAGTACTCATAAACATCTTAGAGGCAACACAGTCTGTTGTATAATAATGATCAGTAAATCCTCTACCAATATACATGTAGAAATTCAAGCCCCCCCCCCCCCCCCGTGGTCCAGGGTCAAAGTCCAGAGATGAGGGTAAGATGGATAAACAGGGAAAATACATTACACTTGAATTTGTAAATGGTATCTCTTCCTGGCGTTTAGTAAGCAATGTCTATGTGCAGTATTTAAAAATTGCATTATGCATTAAATGTATTGCGCCATTTTAAATGTGACATATCACAAATTCGTATTTTACAGAACAGGTTTTGAAAAAAAAAACGCATTTAAACCCCGTCTAATTTACATCGAAAAGATCAAATAATGGAACGTTACTTATTCCTTGTCAAGTTGCTACTTTAATGTGCTATTTCTAAACTACTGAAACTACCACTGGATTTTTTTAATGAACTCGAAAAGTTTTGAACACAAAATACTTGCCTTCAGTTGAATTCTTTTTCCAGTAAACTTTTTTATCATTTCTCGGAGCATGCGCAAAACTGTTTAACAACTGCGTCTTATTCTACAGTCATTTCTCCTACCATGTTTCTACGGATAATTCTGATTGTTTTGACAGGTAAGAATAAATAATTTTACAAAAAACTAGACATTATACATATACATGTAATGTCTCATAGATTGTTATAAAATGTCGATCCTTGTTTAGAGTGGATGTTCTGAAAGAAGTAACTTAGCACTTTTATTTTATCTTTCTTTCATTTATCCCTGCAAATAATCATGCAAGTATAGTTTATTTTCCTAAATAAAACTCAAAAGTGAAGTATATATCATAGTGTTTCCTTTACATAATGGTAAACTGGACACTAATTGTAAACGTCGTCAAGGTGATGACAAATATTTCTTCTGTCTCGACAATGATTGATTCTGTAGCTTATTAATATTTTGCCTTTCTTTTATTCATAAAATCTAGTATAATGTATAATTTCAAATGGTTAATTTAACATGTTCATATGAAAGCTACACACGTTGTATATATATATATATATATATATATATATATATATATATATATATATATATATATATATATATATATATATATATATATATATATATATATATATATATATATATATATATATTAGGGATGTCAACGAATAAAAATTAAGATTAAATATAGATCAAGTTCTCGATCATAGCTTCACTGGGATTGATTAACCTTTAGTTCATTAGTACTATTTTCTTTTATAGCTTATTATTAAGTATTATATACATAGGAGTCGGAAGCAAATTGAATGGGGAGGGGGGGGGGTAATTGGAAGTGGAGAGGGGGGGCTAAGCCAACAAAAAAGGTAAGCCCCAATTTTCAATGCATATATTATGTCTATCTTTGCAAAAAAGGTGAGGGGGGTTGGCTAAGCCCCCCTGACCAACCAACCCCCAACCCCCCGGTTCCGACGCCTATGATATACGTTCGCAAATTGCTTGCAGAGTATCACATCAAATGATTGTTGATTAGCTTATAAGACTTCTAAAAAAATAACTACACAGAATGTACAGACGTGTGTGTTTGTGGGTTGCGAGTCACGTGGTTTAGTTAAGTTTACTCGCAATACTAAAATGATGAACATGAAGCTTAAAATTCGGTTATTTTTTCTACACCGTACGGATATGATTTTTTCTGATAATTATCATGGCGATGCCTGAAGTCTCTTAAGCAGAGAAGATGATTGAGAAATTTTAATAAGTAAAGGCCATTTTGGGGAAGACAAATTCAGCAAGCTTCATCTCAAGCAGGTAAATTGAACGGGTCAGATATTTTTTGACAAATACAAAGTAAGGAAAGCTTTTCTCTTAAGAACAGATGAAAATATTTAGTTGTCTGCTTGCATTTATGTGTAGACATTTTATCTGTATAGGAAATACATGTATCACGATATTGCGGTATAAAAAATTGCAATATGAGATTCATTTAGAGTATGTTCACTGAGATCATTATGCACACCCACACACACACGCGTGTGAGTGTGTGTGTGTTCCAATACATGATAAAATTCAATAATTGGAGACAATGTATTTAGCTATAAATGGCATACATTTTTGCTGATGTATTCCATTGCACATTGGAAAAATATATGCGGCTGAGCAGACTAGAATAATGCCACTTTCTGCAATCACTTTATATTTCAAATTATTTCTTCAATATGGACATTAAGAAAAATATCGTTTCGTGTAATGCACATGAATATTTTTCTGAGTATTCAAAAATAGATTTAAATACATGCATACAGAGGTTTATTGATGCGTTTCAGATTTCAAAGGTTTAATGGCCTACTTTTTACTTTTTGATCAGCCCTCCTACATTGACAAATCTTGCGAGGCTAGTCACTCGATAGATTTTGAATTGCGCAAGTTATTTAACTTGAAATATGCACCCTTGTAAATATCAATTTTCAAATTTCAGAAGCATTTTCGTGTATTTGACGAAGTTAAAAATATTGACGTCAATTTTCTTTTGTTGGTTGGTGCAAGGAATCGACCTGTAAAAATCTTGTATTACTCGCGAGCTACATGTTAAAAATTTCATATGATTTTAATATCTGTCGATAATGGAAACTAAGTGCGAATTGAAGGACTTATTCAATATCTTGAAAGTACAATAACATCTGGCATATTTAAATTACATTCTGGAAATGTTCCAGAATGTTAAAGAAAGAAATGTAAATGATTCAAAACAAAATTTGGTTCAGCAATTTATCAGTAAGCACCTACTTTTTGATATTCTAATTTAAAGTATTTTGATAAATTAGTGTCTTTGTTATGTCTTTAGAATGTAAATGTGCATTTCCTTGTCTCTTTGAATATAATGTTTGATGTGCTGCGAACTTGAATCTGCTTGATTGACACTTTCAAATGTCATCTAAAAATCTAATGGCACAAAAAATATTTAAGTAATACATTTTATTTAAAAATGGTTATTGTGACGAATATTTGATCTTAAGGTGCCTGATTTTACATTGATATTACAGAATTTTGAAGAGTTCCAAAAGAAGAGTATAAGACGGAATAAAGAGGAACGATCACAGCAGATTCAAGTTTTTTGCATTTTACATTTTATTGATTTCATCACCATTATGGAAGTTTTCATTCATTGAAAACTGACTGTTTTAAATAATGACATTGTTTAATATTGTTTAGATATTGTATGATTATGCCGATTAAATGACAGTTATTGTAATATTTTAAGTGTTTGTTGTAATAGTCCATAAAGCATTACTTTTACCCTTGCAAAACTTTGCTAAGATTGGCTTTTTTGATCACAACCTTAAACTTTAATAAATTGTTTCTACAGAATACTAAATAATGTATTTGTGTTCATACAATTGAATACAAACCGTAAATATGATTCTTTTCACACCAGTGTTTATCAGCTAAAAGTGAATTTCTGTGTTTTAGTACCAAATTGCCATTCTTTCCTGGAAATCAAACTTCAACCATCAAAGGGTAGGAATGCCACTCTAGTATGCAAATATCCAGTAGAAGCTACCACAGTGATTTGGACACGAGTTGGAGTAGGAACAATCACTAGCTGCTTCGTGCCAGGAACCTGCTTACCTTTGGTGAACAATAGATATCATTGTAGTGTCAGTAGATTGTATTCTAATATCACAATAACCCATTCACGACAAAGTGAAGACTCAGGAGAATGGAAGTGCACTGTAAATGACCTGTATCACTCCTCAGTGAATCTGCTTGTGTCTAGTAAGAGAATGACTTATGAATAGCATGTTCTTTTTTTATTAACCCGAGAGAAAATAAAGAAGTGTAACGTTATTAGAGTAAGAATACAGCGAATCTTCATGAACAGTTGAAAAGACAATGATAAAAATATTTTCTGAGAAAAACTTTTTCTCTCTATCTCTCTCTATCTCTCTCTCTCTCTCTCTCTCTCTCTCTCTTACACACACATATCCTTAAAACGTTTATTTTTCTAGTTAAAGGAATTTTTTCATTTGATATTTACAGCCCTCCCGAGTTCATTTTATTTCACAAATGCTCCTGCGACTGAGGTTTTCATCACACAAAGCGGATTGGACCTCCATGCACGAGCTGTGTGTGTCTTCCCTCAGCTAACAGAAGTCAGCCTCCATTACATGATTAAGGTAAGACCTAAGGCAAAAAAGTCATCAAATAAATTTTTTAACGTTTTGAGACTAATTTGAGAGATATTATATAAAATGATTATATTTCATGAGATATTACCTTGAAACTGACCTTAGGCTTTCAAATACTTATATTTCTATGTTCTACCAACACTCTTTTTTTTACTCCTCACTAAATAATTAGCAGCAGTGTAGGAGAAACTTCAGGAGTACTGAGCAACAACATATTCGAGAAGTGGTGTAAATAAGATCTGGATACTTAAAAATTCCAAGGAACTTTTCGCAAATTTGAAATCACTAAATTTTACTAAAAAATCAGTAACATTAAAACTTCTGACTTTTCAACTCTACATGTGTATACAAATATTCCCCAGGATAAATTAAAGTCCACACTTTTTTGACATCATTGACAACTGCTTTTTCAATAAAAAAGTAAATTTACTTACCTTGTCATTTGTCATTTGCAAAATTATTTTGTTAAAAACATTCTCATTGTACACACAAGTACTCTGAAGTTGATATTAAAAAGATGCTTGAGTTTCTGATTGACAATATCTATTTGGTTTTTGGAGACCAGGTCTTCCAACAATCTGTTGGAATTCCCATGGGTACGTATACAAATTGCGCCCGTTATCAGCGACCTATTTTTGAATTCATATGAAAGAGAATTTATTCAAAATCTTATGCATGAGAAAAGGAAAACTCTTGCTTGGCCTTCAACTCGACATTTAGATACATCGACGACGTATTATCAATTAACAATAGTGATTTCCATTCATCCGTCGACACGATATATCAAAGTGAGCTAGAAATAAAAGATACCACAGAGTTTGACACATCTGTTTCATCTTTGGATATTTTACTAGAAAAAGACGTTAATAGTAATCTAACAACAAAGCTTTAAGATAAACGTGATGACTTTAACATTTCAATCGTCAGCTTCCCTTACTTATGCAGCAATATATCCTCATCACATGCATATGGGGTTTATATCTCTCAGTTCGATACGCAAGAGCATGCTCTACGTAAGAACAATTTCTAAAACGAGGTTAGTTATTGACAAACAAGTTGATGAAACAAGAATATCAAAAGTCTCGTCTAAAGTCATCATTTTGGCAAGTTCTATGGTCGATACAATGATCCTGTCAGCAAATACAATCTATCACTAAGTCAAAAGCTGACTGACGTTTTTCATACTAATTGTAAGGCCATTATATACACACTGACTTTTTCCGTTATTCCCCGATCATGACAAGGAGCACATGACGGGTGTGACCGGTCGGCAGGGGATGTTCACTCCTCCATGGCACCTAATCCCACCTCTGATGTTTTTAGAGGTCCGTGTTTGCTCTGCTCCTGATTTGTAATTTTTTTAATGGATTTTTGAGCTTAAATACTGTTCGTTATCTCCATATATTTCATAAGCAATCATGGCGAGCCCAAATCTAAACAAAGAAGGTTGCCAAACAGCCATTGAATTCAGGCTAAAGTAGAGCTTTGCTACAAAAAGTTTGCCTCCAAAAATGTGTTGATATCTTTAGAATTGAAATCATCAAAAACCTGTTGGATATATATAGACTATATAATATATTAAAATCATTTTTTTTTTTCAGGGTGATAATACATTTAATCTTTTCACAAAAAGAAAACCCGACATTTATTTTGCCGGTGGTAGCACACAGAACTGCGATAAACATGAATACATCATGTTAACTCAGATAACGTTAAAGGAGGAAGACTTCCTAGACTTGACAATGCTATTCAGAATGCAGTACACTGCTTTGACGGGAGACGTTATACAGAGTCAAACCACGTCCTATGTTGTTTTCCCCGGTTTGTATAATACTACATTACAGTTGGAAACATAAGTAAAATTAATCATACAATTATAAATAGTCTTTAATAAAAAGTCCTTTTAGGTTTTAGATCGATTTAATGTATTTGAGTACCATGGATATTGTTTTATTGCTTTCCCTAACTAAATTAAAATAAACAAGAGGCCCTAGACAACATTGTTCATTCGAGTCAATATATGTCCCTGCTATAATTTTATCAGCAGATTCTTCCCATATACATTCCTATGTAAAATATTTATCAATTACTATGACCCAAACCTACCCCCGGGGGTCATGATTTGAACAAACTTGAATCTACACTATCTGCAGATGCATCCATGTATATATATATATATATATATATATATATATATATATATATATATATATATATATATATATATATATATATATATATATATATATATATATATATAGAAAAAGAACTAAAAACCAACAACACTGTATATCCTAAGTGTCGGATCTACTAATTAGATACAAGGTCACGGATGGAAATTTAAATAAAGCACTAAAAATGACCAACAACACGAACAATAAAAATTGTCAAATTTTCTGGACGACCTGTCCCTTCCTCAGGACAAAGAAAAACATTAAGAAGTCATAGAAATAAAGGAAACAGAGAAACAAAAACAACTAGCACTACTACTAAACCTTCAAACACTAAATATTTACAGTGTTACATTTTTAATTTGAAGTTTATAAACAGTTGTGAAGAAAGAACTCCGGAGCGCTATGAATTGTTCATGGAGGCTGCCGATTTTGACCATGGCGTATCTCGTTAAAGTTACGTAATGAGTCAAAATCATGAGTTTCATTTAAGATAATTGTATTATAAAACAAAAGATTTATGTGAAATATGAATAAAGCGAAGTTTTGACAACTCAACTGCAGTGTAAAGGAAGAAAAGAAATGCAAAATGTAAGTGCCGGAAAAGCAAAGGTTGTATCTATCGCTTAGTTGTTATCGTCAGTATCGTAAAACAATGTCAAGGTCAAGCGACTTTATTCTTAGCGTGAAACTTGTAAACAACATTCAATTGGAGCAAGCAAAGTGAGGAATAAGTTCGATCATTTTTATTGAAGATTGTATCAAAATCCTCGGTCATCCGACATTTATACCTATGGAATTGACACCATGGTAAATTCTTCAACTTTTCTGCGCATGCGTACAATAAAAAGGAAGAAGTGAAGCAATATTCTTTGTATTGGGGCAAACAAAAATTATGTTTACCTTTATTTTTCTCCATAAAAGTAGATTTTTTAGGTTCTGAAACCTGTAATTTTCTGAAACCTAGAATCTTCAAGAATTGAACAAAATTTGCACGTGTCATGCAAAAAATTCTACTTTTGTCAATGTCCCCCTTTTTCCGTCACGGCGTCTCTTTAAGCATGGCACACAAAAAATTAACCATGGAGAACCCTGATAATTTTACATAATTGAATCTATACAATGTAAAGAAGCTTTCAAATAAGTTTCCTTTTTTTGGCCCATTCTTCATGAAAAGATTTTTAAAAAGATGTCATTAAATTTTCACTTATTCTTAATTACATGCATGTATCTCTTATTGAAAGAGGGCGTGGCCCTTTATTTGAATCCCCCTTTACCCAAGGCTTTGAGGTAAGTTTGTTTGGTGCAGTGCCAGTGGTTCTTGAAAAGTCAAAAATGTGAATAGTCTACAGATGACAGACGACAGACGGACACCCTTTGATCAAAAACACTTACTTGAGCCTTTGGCTTGTGTTAGCTGAAAAGGAACTAAGTATAAAGTTTCATTGATATTGATGTCGTCCGTAATTTTGCAAATGATACCTGTCAGATAAGTACAATTTTCTTTCTTTGGGTGATTCTGAAGATTGCGAAACTTAAAGCTATTCATGGTAATGGGAAAAGGAGAAATGAGGTAAATTATAATGTAGGTCAACATTGTTTGTCAACACACATACATACATCAAAATAGTTGAATTTTTTTCTAAAGAAAGTATTTTTCGTGACCGAACAAGATTATTTACTTTCAGTACATCTTCAACAATATGCAAAAGTAAAGAATTCATCATATAATTATGCTTTTAAAGTTTGTGTTACAGATACGTTACGGTAATGTTTAAGCCATCGGTTATAGTGAAGGTGTTCCGTCTGTACCTCCATACATCAGTTACACTAGGGAGTAGCCATCCCTCAACCCCATTTCTTCCTATACCACTGAAGAAAATTTATTGAGACTTTCAAAGAATATTCATTATGCAGTGCTATTGTGCACCTCCTATTTTAACTTTTGATCGGACATGTATTAAGAGATTTCCCTAACAAAACATGGACACTGACATTCTTTCTATATCATTGGGGGTACCAATCTCTTCTCCGCAACTCCTCCTATACCACCGAATGAAATTTAATGAGGCATTCATAATCTTTATTACATAGTGATATTGTGCACCTGCTATTTTAACTTTTGATCAAACAAATATTTAGGGATTCTCCTAGCAAAGCATGAAAACTGCCATTCTCTATTTCATGGGATACCCATCTCTTATCCACAACTCTTCCTATACTCCTCCAGATAATTTCTCTTTTCCGTAGAAAAAAAAATGGACTTTGTCATCATACTCATAAGGGGGCGGGAGTATCATTTGGAAGCTCGTTGTTCACAGTACCTCTAGTTTTAATCTTTTTCTAAACCACAGTAATCGGTATAATAATCACAATTAGTGTGCATGGTTAATATCATAAAACTAGAATTCTGTATTCGTATAAATCTAAGTAAATTTGTGTTTTTAGGTCATCCATGTCAATCAAAGCCTTGTCAGAACGGTGGGGAATGTAAAGTACTGTCATTCAGTCATTATCACTGTTCCTGTCCAACAAGATATACTGGACAAGACTGTGATGTTAAAGGTAAGATGTGAAGAAGAAATTGTTGTCATCTTCCTGAATTGCTGTTACAAACAGTATATTTACGAATGCATTCCTGATTTTTGTTTTAAAAAATGGAACAAACAATTGAAATTATTTTTATATTTCAAAATTACAAATATATTTAAATGAACAGGTGTAAAGAAGTAAGTACTTTGTTCATCAAAGACCAATTCTTATATGTAATCAGAGATCATGCCTTAGATAACTATATGTATATGTTAGAGGACTAACGCATTATAATAATATAAACAAATTTAAGGTCATACTTAAGCAAGGAAAAAAATTACATGATGTGAACTAAAGAATTAATTTTATAAAGAAAAAAATTCATTGCAGTAAACCCTTGTGTCTCAAACCCCTGTGAAAATTATGGCGTTTGTCATGGCAACGAAGATCATTTCACCTTCACCTGTAAATGTCAGAATGGATATACCGGATTTACTTGTCAAGGTTTTTGTTTGATAAAACATTTTTCTTCTTTAATTTTTTTTATATTTGAAATAAATACTGATGAAAAACATACCACTAAATGATTATATTTAACTTAACATAATCTTAATAAAAGAGTTAAAAATCATATTCACGTAGTGCAGTTAAAACGTATATGTTACTTTATATGATTATCATGTTATTAACTTCTCTTTTAGAAAGTACTTCATCTGCACCGTTTCATAAAGGTATAATTTAGTCTTGTTTCTCACATCAAAAATATGACCATTTTAAGAACGTAAATTGATACTGTTGATTCATTATTGTTCGTGAACATCCCCAAGAACAATAATTTTGAAAAACAGTATGGGCTCGCTGAATTGTCTGTACCTATAAGTTGTCCATAAAATTAAGCCTCCGCCAACAAGTAAAATTTTGATTACCCACGAACATTGACCCCCACGGATAAAAAGAATTCCGCAGTATTCCAGATTTATCTAAATTCTACTTATATAACATGCAACAGTCATTATCTCTTATATCATTGTTTTCTAAAAACATATCCCTTTGAAAAGATGCGTTAATTTTTTAATTGCATTTGATTGTACTGTCCCTGAAATTTGTTTGGAATGACATTATTTAAAATTATGCTTTATATAACGGCAAACTTGTTCAATATTGTAGCATTAATATGAAAACATCTTATTTTTCCAGAGAAAGGCCTTTTCATAACTATTACAACGATACAGGTTGTCCTATTATCAGCTCTAGTTTGAGTCACACCAGGAATAAGACATCAAATCCGGTCATCATACCATATGCTTTAAGAATATCCAATACATAATACAGTTTAAAAATGAATATTTCTTTTCTGGGATATATTTATTTAAGTGACACATATGTATCTGCTGTATGTGACTGCTTAACTCATTTATCATTTAGAACTATATTTTTCCATGTATCACTTTTAAATTCCACGAAAATTGTACAACGTTGTGTAAATCTATTTCAAAATGCAAGGAAGGTAATGTTACAGTGCTTCCAAGATCCCGAAACTTCTAGTTTTTTGATTGGCAATATGATACACTGTATATACAATTGAAAAAGACAGAAAAAAACGCGTCGAAAAGAACAAATGAAGCTTATATGAATTACTTTTTTTGCACTTTTCATTTATTGTAATTCATTGTAATTCACACCGCGAGAAAAAATTGTGCCATTTTAGAATTTTTTTTCAATACTGAAATCCCTCTCTTTTTCTTATGTTTTAGGAATTTTATGAATAAGAATTCAAAGCAAAATTAAGAATGTACTTGTGTCAGTGAAAACTTTTATAACGCTAACTTTAACCTAAGCTTATTTGCTGGAGTAACCCAAGTTATGTAACATGTATTCCAGTCTACAATTTATGATAAAAGCCCTAACTGATTCCATTGATCTGTAATGAAAAGTTGAAGATAATGAACAGTGGTCGATCTCAAAAAAAACTTACAAACAATATATCTGTGAACAGGGCATAAAACACGGACCCCTGGAAATTCCAGAGGTGGGATCAGGTGCCTAGGAGGGGTAAGCATCTCCTAATGAAAGTTACCTCATTTTTATATTTCATATATATTAAATCATTCATTTGTAAAAGTAATCATTTATTAGGATTCATGAAAAGTAATTTTATATATAAAATATAAGCTTAGCTTTTAAATATTCAGCAAATGACCAACTTGTAATAATATCCTCCCTAAAATCAGTATAATTACCATTCAAATTTTACAAATTGATATGAAACTACTTGTTTCATATATTTCTTTTTAACTATCAGTTATATTGTACTGGTGTTGAGTTATGATATGGTTTCAAAGTTTTCGGGGGAAAAATATGAAACAAAAATCTTTACAAAGAAAATAGAATACTATTTCTCGAATTAATTTGAAGGTGTACTTGAAATATGCATATTCATTTATCCTTCAAAAATGAGGCTAAGGAATGCTATAAATTGACCATTTCTTCATTAAAATTGTGTTTACTGAATAAAAAGCTTTTCATTTGCTATGAACAGAAAAAGGGATATTCTTAAGGAGGGCGACTTTGGCATTCCTGTGTAAAAAGTACAATAAAAAAACTCTTTATTTTTATGCCATGTGTAACCTACACTAACTTCAGTGTGGATTTAAATTTCCAGGACACTCTTCCACTGTGTATTTGATAAAACCCATTTCAAAATACTGATACATTTACTTTAGGATTAACGAAGAAATTTGTATCTTTGCATTTCAAAGAAAATTTTAAATACATGTAATCTAATAGACGTCTTGCTCAAATTGTAAACATATTATGATTAAAAACAAAAAATTCTACCATCTGGTTCACATAAAGGAACTTTTAAAAATGCTAAATTTTGTCAATTTTCCTATTTTAATTAAATATTACGGAGATGAAAAATAAGGATTCATAGGGAAAAAAACAAAACAAATATTACAATGAGATCTGTTTATTTCTATTTTTAAAAAATTCAAAAGCATATACTTCATACTTTTTTTTACATTAATTCTGTGCCTTCCTCCTTAGGAGCTTCAGTTTATCAAAGCTTAAAGATACAGAATGACATCAACCTCATTAAGAAAAATAGTTGCAAAGCTTTTTCTTTACGAAAAATTATTTCTTTCAATCTGTTTTTTTAACTTATTATTCCCTTAAATTCGATAAAAAAAATTAATAAACAATTTGTTTCAAGAGTGTAAAACCACTTCATTTTACTTTACTACAGAAAATGTTGCACAATAAAAAAAACTGAAATATTACGTATTAATAAAAACATATAAATGGAATTATTTCCGCTATATGTATGCTCGTATAGACCTGATGAATTTTATAACAATCCTAATTAAAAACAAACAATGATATTGGTTATTTACATGTAAGGAACAAAAAAAGTCCCTGCATAAAGGTACCTTTTGCAAATTTTATATCAATTTGTTTCTTTGTATTTCTGTTTATTTATTTCATTTGTTATACAGTAAGTGTTTCGAGAGAAATAAATATTTTGAATAACTAAAATATGTTTTGTTCTATGTTTTAAAAATTTTTCGATTTTCTCGGGATAGATCTCAAAACTATCTTATTTCATATAAACTTCCGTTAATGATGACGTTTATTCGTGGTTTTAGTTGACAGGAATTAAAAAATCTTAAATCAAAAATTGTTCTAAACAAACGAAATACATGTATCGTGTTATAAATGAATATCAATATCAATATTTAATATTTTACAATTTGATATATATTTGAGGTAATGCAGAGGAAATTCGGACATCATTTCATATTCTATTTTTTTTTAAATAATGTTTTAACTCAGGATGTTATCCTTAAAATTATTTCTATGTTTTTTTTCCTTTTTTAATCGTTTTAAGCATATTGTCGGCACTGCCAGGTGTGTTATAGGACCGACGACATCTAAATATAAGAATTCAATGCTTACATTTACATTCTCTTATTTTCTCTCTACATAATTGTTTATTTTGTTAATATTTATTATGAATTTAGTGCCTTTCAGAACTGGTGTGCTTAACAGACGTAAGAGCAGTTTGTGACTTTGGAAAGTTAACTTACGCAAATGAACATTGCGATAAAAAAAATGACAACTTAATTTTAAATGCACAGTTGTTTTATTTTACGTTAATTTAACAGGGTACACTTTAGTTGTGTTTTTTTTATTAAACTAATATACATTTTGGTGTTCCTAGATATTGAAAATGCATATAGTTCCTACTGTGTATTCTACCGCGCGGTGACAAGGTTTCGCGTGTGATATAGAGAATTGAACGTCGTAAATTTCTGATGGATTTCATGAAGAAAATTACACTGAATGTAAATATTTGTATTTATAATGTTTGTTAAAGACTCATGTATTATCATAAATAATTAGAAGGCATGCAATAGAGAAAATCTGGAATCTGAACAAAAGTCATTCAAGACGGTACATTTCAGAAATATGATCACTGACGTTATATAATCTTAATACCAGCAGAAAAGGGGCAATAGAAGTAAACTGAAGTTATTAAAAGTTTAGAGTTAGGCGCTCTCATCTTTCAATTTTTTGTAATATTGAATTAAAAAATGGTATAATTCAGAAAATTAACAGGGCAAGTCGGACTGGAATATTTTTTCATATTTTTTTCAGGTGTATTGCCAAATCTTTCATCGTTTATACTACCCTTTACTTCCTTATAATTCTTATCCAAAGCGTTCCATTTATTATTATATTTTGCTGAGAATGAATGTCTTGATCAAAGTGCAAACTTTTAAGCATGTAAGTGGGGATTTTTTTTTTTTTTTTTTTTTTTTTTTTTTTTTTTTTTTTTTTTTTTTTTTTTGCGAAATACTGAGAGGCTTCTAGTATGAAAATTAGTTCATTAACCTATATATTTAAAAGTGGAAAATACCACCACAAATCATAGGTCTACATTGTACAACAGTTTTTTTTTCCATTCCCATCAGTGGAATTCTTTTGCCATCTGGGTAAATATCATTCTTAATCGTTTGCGTTAACTTGCACCATTGAAATATATTTTCTCAGATACGAGTATTATGAATGAAAAAGGTTATGAATGTTTTACATGGAATTCAAACTTAATAATTTCTTTTTAAAAATTGAATTTTGCGATAAAATACTTCTTCTGTTCAGTTTGATAGACCTAATCAATCATTTTCGATTGGATCGTAAACTTAACATTGTTTCCTCCAGCACCCCTAAGTTAACTGAACTTGTTATAATGCAATTTTGGTTTATTATATAATTCAATTTTGTTCAAATAAAGGACCATTTCCATTCAAGGATAGATAGATTAGGCACCGAAAAATAAGACCGAGTGTCTAACTGGAAGAAATCTCTTGGAATGTCAATTAATTTCTTTTTTCAATTAAACATAAAGGATATGCCTGCTGCCCAATCCCATTCCTATCTATAAAAAATATATATTGTTTAAAATGGAACCCACATCTCAAAAACAAGGATAAGACCAAAGATAGTTTCAAATTAAATGAAATAGCATACAAAATATTTCTAATTAAAAATAAAAAAAATTTCTCCTACAAAAGTACAAACGTTTTAGGAAGTCTGTGAGTATCGACAAAAAGTATAATTTTGATGTCATAAAATCGTAGTGTATGTATTTAGATTGAAAAAAGAGATAAAATATGACAGGGTAGTGAATCAGAAGAAAAAATTGGGAATGTTTCTCCAAACAGGTTGGTTCATTATAACTAATTTACTGTTGTCCAACAATTGTATATCCATCTCTAAGCAAGTCGGCATATTATAAGTAGCTTTCATTCAGTTGAATGCATGCTTAAAGCATTGAAGTCTGCATGTAAATTATCTTTCACACTTTACTAACCTTTATTAGGATTAGTATAATATATATAAATTATAATTTCATTACATTATTTTAATGTCAAATAAATACAAAAAGATAAAATTTAAAAAAAACTGTTCCTAGGGTTTTTACTCATAAATATGTAGAGAACATTTTTCATTTGAAGTCATTATGGGACTCATAATATTTCTAATAAGGACCATTGCAATCGCCTGCGACCCAAATACATTAAAATTGTTTAGTAATATATCTATTACATTAATTTTCTCTTATTTTAATGATACTTTAGGTATTCAAAGGAAAAGCCAGGCTTTGCTGACAATTTCAAAATATGCATCAGAGGGAGCAGAAGGGATATTAAAATGCGACTTTCACTTCGGAAACTCGAAGGTACACGTGGTATGGTACAGTGATCGGAACTCCAATATCAGTGTTTGTAATTATCCGGGTTACTGTCA